ATGATATATAAACCTACATTGCAAAGTTTAAGTTAAAACGTCGGTTTTCTAAACGTGAACTGGCCATTCCCACGCGGCGGTTGACAAATCACATGCCCGTCTCAATCTCAATGACGGCTTCTCCTCTTGCACCCGTGTGTACGGTGTTGCCAGCTTTACAGAGCAACTGATAGACCCTAAAGCTGGGGTCACACTGCGCATACATCATACAAAAGACAGTCTGCACACAGATTGGAACGGGAGCCGCCGGGAGATCCGTGCTTCGAATGCCGCACGGCGATCAATTCAAGCAGGAAACTTGGGCACGCGGCATTCGAACTACGGATATTTCGGTGGCACATTTTTGCAGATTGTCTTTTGTATCATGGTATGAGCAGTGTGACGCCGGTTTAAATCCAGGATCACACTTCTTACGCCTCATACAAAAGACAGTCTGAATGCGGGTTTTTGAACGCGAGTCACCACGAGATGTTTGCTTCGAGTGCCGCATGTCACCCACTTCAAAGAGGAACTTAACACGTATCATTCTAACCACGGATATTGCGGTGACTCGTGTTCGCAAACCGTCTTTTTTATGATGTAGGAGCAGTGTGACCCGTGCTTTATACGCCACACAAAAGACAGTCTGCATGCAGATTCGAACGCGAGTCGCCGCGAGATCCGTGCTTCGAATGCCGAGTGGAAATGAGGGCAAGGATTGACACGCGGCATTCTAACCACGAATATTGCGGTGACTCGTTTTTGCAGAGTGTCTTTTTTGTATGATGCGTGCATTATACAAAATACCTGGAGCCTTGTCCTTCCTTGTGCGACGGTCCTGTTACATTGGTCTTACAAAAAGCACTCTTTAGACATGTTCACACATGTTCACATATGGGAAGCAAACATGCTTCGAACATGATTGGTGCGTGTCCGCACAGTGGGACTGAGGCTTAAAAATCAACTTGTCGTTTATGAAAAAAGTTTGCGTCTGCCCACAAAAAGCTGTCGGCCCCGCGCAAACGCAAAAACTTTTTTTTTTTTTTTACAACGAGACATTTGCGCATGTTTATTTGGTCGGCAAGCACAACCCCCTCAATATGATGTCAGAAAGATGAGTATGCGTATATAGTCTGGTCTTGTCCTCGTATTCCCGGAGAGAAACGGCGTCGCTGCGCTAGCCTCCGCGAGAGCACGAGCTTGCTGACGTCACGGAGAGGGAGGAGCACCCGTCGGTGCCGTCTCTTTTCTTTTTTTTTTTCATTGACACCCCCGAGAGCGATGGTCCGCCAAATGCCCATAGTGCCTAGACACATTGGGCACTGAGCAGAGCTTCTCTCCGTGCAGCTCTTACACGCACTATCTTGCGTTGTTTTAGTTCTTATGTTTTGTGCAACTATATTTGCGCAGTTGTTCACTTATCATGATGTAATATACTATAGCGGCTTTTGTGATCGCGTGACCCTGTCTCGCAAGGTAAACATGCGATGTAAACTGCTAGCAGACATGCTGAGTAAATCGGAACTTGCGGCTCTGACGTCACGCCGCTAGGTGGCGCTGTTGTAGGTATGGCGCATGCGCAGGAGGATCACCTCAAGCGAATCTAATGTCTGCTCACGCGCAATACCCCCCCCCCCCTCCCCTGGCATGCGCAAACGATTGCTCGTTTGTAAACAGTGCGTTGGCGTACACCTGACGATCAAAAACCGACCACAAAAGCGAGTGCTTTGAAAAGAAAGAAAAGGAAAAATGATACTGCGGTAGATTGCTTCAGTTGCCAAAAAAGCTGCGTTTCTTATGTTGATGAGCAGTGCTGTTTGATTTTATGCCGTATGGGAGTGCGGTGCATCGCGGTTTAAAGTTAACAACTAAAAAAACATTCATCGAGAGTGTATAGTTAGCGCTAGGCTGATGTGACTGCTGGGTAGAGGACACAGAGACGCGGTTGATACGAATACAAAATCGCACGGCGTCACGACAACTCTTCGTTTTCTGTAGCACAGAAAAAAACTATAGATGTTCTCGACGGTTTTTCCGGCAACATATATGTTTTGCATTTCGGTTCATTTCCGCCATAATCCTAACACTGTGTTTTTGTTTTAATGAAAACGCGAATGAATGACTGAAAAAACGAGTAAATGCACGAGTTAGATGTTCATAACCATTAGAGTATTAATTCTGTATGAAATGTGACGTGAATTACATCGTTACAGTTTGTGTGTTAAGATGTTGCTTTTGTTTGGCGATTATTACCGCACGATTTAATAACACATTATTTGTTCCGAGCGAATTGAAACATCATGCAATAAATCAAAATTTTAATTTTCCACACGATATCCTACGATAATACTGAAAACAATCAAGCCTCTGAATTCTACGAGTTTGCTCTTGCTTGCTATATCGCCCGAGTTTGTTTTTAGAATCGTTAAGTTTCCCCGGAGTCTTTCAAGAGTGTTCGAATTCTGAACAGACCGATTAATGCCAACGTAAAATCGCAAAAAAAATAAAATAAAAAAAAAACCATAGACAACAGTACACGCGACTTATTTTGCACAAGAGAAGAAAATTGACGTAACCCACAACGAATTGTTCCCCCCCCCCCCCCCCCCCCCAAACAACGGGTCTTCCGTAAAACAACACCCTAACAAACACCCCATTAAACAACCAAGCAGCCAACCCGCCGTAACGCTCACGCCATAACCACTCAGCACCCGAACACGTCGCTCTCGGCTATACCCCCACAACTTACGCGCTCGACGCGAAGCACCCACTAAGCGTTAGTGCCACCACTATAGTACTCACTACCTTCTTCCAACGGGAAGGAAAGGGGGGGGGGGGGGGGCAATAATCGAGGCGCCAATTTCGCGGCGTAACTCAGACCTGTCTTCCCCGCGTATTACGGGAGCAAGCGCCGTTGCGGCGTCGTCGTCCACAAAAGGGTGGAGGAGAGCGCCTCCTGTGGCGGCTATAAAAACCCAATTTGGCGCCACGGCAAAATGGCCTCGCGAACAAGGTGAACTCCGGGAGACGGGGCCCGGCCCCCGGCTTGGCTCCCGCGGCGAGCACGAGAGGCTGCCGCCGCAGCCGTCACGTACTTTCCGTCCAGACTTACGACGTGTCCGATGGGCATTTCCGACTTTTGCCTTCATGATTTTTTTTATTATTATTATATTTCTACGTAGCCGTATACTGACGGGTAGAGAGAACGGAGCGATACTTTTTGGTTGTTGGTGTTTTAAGGTACCCTAACAGGATTAAGATGATATTGCCACGAATATGAAACTTTGATGAGGACTGGCTGTTTTTGTTTTTTCGGCCGGTGGAAAGCGCTTGTTGCTTTTGATGGTTGTGTGTGTGTGTGTTTGTCCGTGTGCGCTTCGTGTTTGTGTGTGTGTCCGCGCGCGTGTGCGTGTGTGTAAGCGAGCCGAAGTCGAGTCGGGTTATCTTGTGACGGTGCGTTTTTCGGAGGTGGGCTGAGGTTATGGTTATTTAATTGGGTTTTGTGGCACGCTAGATTCAATTTAGGGGTTACGCCGGGAACGGTTTGGTTTCGGTGGGCTTTCGTGCTTTTTATATCGTCTCTTTTTTTTTTGCGTATTTGGTTTTGGGGTTGTAATTATTTAAACTTGCGGCTCCGTGGGGGTCGCAAAAGCATATCATGGGGACTTGGGGGAGCCGTTTGTAAAACCGGGATTGTATCCCGTGCTGCAGAAATACTTCCTCCCCCCCCCCCCCCCCCCCCCCCTGATTTAGATAGTGTACGTTTATACTGAAATCCTCACCGTGAAAAAAAAAAATCAGCACCATCCGCGCAGAGGCACTAAGATATTGATATTATTTATGTTTCCTTACGCAACGCTCGTATTCAGAGAATCTCATTACAGATAACTATTTTTACCAACTTATTATTTAAGCGTCGTGCTTCGTTACTTACGAATTCAAACACACGAGAGAAACTGATTATGTTTTAATACTCGTCTCGTTACATATCGAAATTCTCAACTTGCGCAGCTATACGGGTCGTAAGTGTGAGAAAGAAGGAAACGAGGGCGCACGGGAACGTCAGAACACCGAGCCCTGGTTAGAATGATTAGTGAGTGTGGTTTGGAGTGTGAATCCACAATATATCGTTTTACGAGCACGCGCCCAAACGGAGCTGGTTGGAGCAGCGTTGAATTAAGAATCGGTCAAAGAATACCAGCTTGGCTTTTCTGGTTCGTTTGCAGTTGGTTCTCCAGAGCCCGCCCCGTCTCCCAAGTGCTCCGCCCTCACCGGGGCCTGTCGCTGGTCTCACCGGTCGAAGGTCTCGAGTACAAGGCGGAGTCTTTGACTTCTCTCAGTTGTCCGCTCAAGGAAGACCCAGGGACGCTGGGCTCGGCGGGTTCGGGATCCAGTGGCACCAGCAGGTGAGCTAACGTTAAAAAAGAGGACCAAACAACATTAACTGGTTGGAGTAGTTGATTCCACACCATAAAAACATAGAGGACCCAGGATGGCGTCCGCTTCATATCCTCTGGACACCGTGGGCATTGAATGATCTGCACTCTTTAAATGCACGACGGTATCAGTAGAGTGGTTACGTTAGGCGATATCTGGCAAGAAATGCTAACCAAACACCCGGGCAGCTAATTTGCGAGTTCACATCGAACAGGTGATATTGTTTATATCTCTGCGCGCTAGGCACTTAGGGATAAAAAGACAACAAGAAAAACTCAGAGGTAAAGCTTTCCAAAAATATATTGTCATTTGACGACAATTTCAAACCGACAAATTGATATGCACCCAATTAAAAAAAAAAAGGACTGCTCAGGAGTAAAGTACCAGACATATGCACGACAAATTCGACCAGGTGCTGGCCAGTCACGGCGACGCGTATACACTCTGGTTGACCGGTTTCTGGTGGTATATGGCCATCGGTCGCTTTGTCGTGTGTGTGTCTGGCGCTTAAGGGATGTGTTTCGATCACCCGTAGATGTGAGCGATATTTTTTCCCCATTTCCTTCCCCCACGCGGGTGCGCAGCGGCGGGACGAGTAGCGGCAGTAAAGTGAAGCAGCGCCGTTCTCGAACCAACTTCACCCTGGAGCAGCTGAACGAGCTGGAGCGGCTGTTCGATGAGACCCACTACCCGGACGCCTTCATGCGGGAGGAACTGTCCCAGAGGCTCGGACTCTCCGAGGCCCGGGTTCAGGTGAGCTGGCGCAGGCTTCGCTCTCGGAAAACACCATACCGTAATCGAAGCTCACGAACAGCCCCCTCTAACTCCACGTAACGTCGTGACACTAGAACGGCGCCCACTCAACAGTTGAAACCGAGCCCGACCCCGGGTGTCCTACCGACGGATTGATTGGACACGAGGCAGATCCGAGCTCTGACGCAGTTCTCGGGTCCTATCTGTGTCTTCTCTTGAATCCACTACACTGACGTCAAAATGCCAGTGCACGAGCTTTGATCATTCTAGACATGTGTTGTTTCGGTACGCTTAGATTGTGTGTACCCTACCACCGCAAGCCATTAAAACACAAAGGAGTTCGAGGCTAGTGGGAGGAACTCGAAAAGTAGCTTGAAAGCCTGATAGTGACTGCCGACGTTTCGCTAGGAGACTTGGGTTCTTAACGAAATGTAAAACACAATTATAATTCAAAAAGACTCCTCTTGCAACTAATACTATCAATTTTGTTTTGACTATGAATCGTTAAATCTCATTGGGTTAGTCTGTATACACATTGCAATTACTGTTTGTATCACATAAGATATCAATTAGGTGAAAGAACTCCGCTAACCTAAATAAAACACCCCTAAATAACCGGTTTAAGGGATTCTATGTTGGCGGGCGAAGCATTAAGGTAATCGTACCGGCAGCCTGCAGACCGGAGGTTTTTATAAATTGTCGAACCAGCGCACCCGCAAGTGCATTCGCAGTATTGGGATGGCGTGTTGATTTGTTGGTTTTTTAAAGGCCTTGGATCTGAACGCCTTGCGAGGATAAGAGCCTCAATCTGTCAGCCAAACTTCAGCTACCATTTTAAAGTTCGCAGTTGCATTCTCTTTCAAGGATTCTAACCTAATATGATCCTACCTTACGTAAGCTTCCTCGTCCAACTCCAACCAAGCCTATTCTAACATATCCTACAATGTACCTTGCCCTTCTCTAATTAAAACAGACCTAGCGTTTTCTATGTTTTAATTTTCCATCTTAACCTAGCAAAAATAAATGTGACCTGCTCTATAGCAACTGAGGATAAAAACGGCACGGCGTTTCTTTCTGATACCCGACGTTCAGCCTTCCGTGGTACATTGACTGCGTGTCAATCTCCCTGCGACCATAGCCAACCATAGTAGAAGTCAACCAAATCAGACCTAACCTATTCGCAACTCCAGCTCACCCCTCGCCCTCTTGCGGGCGAACGAAGAACCAGAGTAGTGGGGACGGCGGCGGAGACGGTGGCAGGGAGTGTCGGCCTTGGTGCTGTTGTTACCGCATGGTTCTGGTCTGCGTGTTAGTGCATCACGCAGTTTTCACGGAAACGAAGCGAGTGCATTAAAATATACGAATTGTTGGTGTTCCGCTTTGAAATTTTTAAAAACCAACATGCTCATTTTTTTTACCGCACGTGTACATCTTCGTCATTCATGATATGCTCCTGCCCTGGCCGCTTCGTATTTGTAGCCAAATAAACTAAGTTTAGCGCGCTGACCAGCGTCAAGGAGCAGGCGCACGGAAAATCCTGGAAAATCTATTCAGGTCTCTTCCGCCATCTTGGAACTACCGCCCTGCCGTCTGCAGGGACTTGGAGTTGCAACTAGCCCGAAGCTGGTTAATATATATATATATAAAGTAAAATGCACCTCAGCAGTGAATACCTTAGTCTAAAAACCTAAACGGCGTATTAGGCAGGCACTAACAGCCGAATAATTATAACAGCAGTAAAACTTTTTTTTTTGTTCAGAAACGACTCCGAATGAACGACCCGTGCTCAATCTGGCCCAGATAACGCGTCAAATCTCGATCAATGTCGGAAGCAGACCTCAACTCCCCGGCCGGACCAGGCGGGCAAAGCTGAAACGTCCCCCAAAAAAAGACAAGACGCAACGCAAAAAACAAAAAAAAAAAAACAAAAAAACAAAAAAAAACTAAAAGAGAAAACGACACAGCCCGATTCCAAGCAGCGAGCGAAAGCGTTTTTCATCAGTCTGAAAGCCACCGAGCCGATTTAATCTGCTCCTCAGATTTACTCCCCTCCCCGTCTCTCTTCCCTCGGTTGTGATGCGGCTTTAGTCGTCGTGTAATTGATAAACCTTGACCCACCCGCCGGGGGACATTCGCGGGGCATGCCGTCCACCCTCGCCAAATCCGCATGTCCCCAAATGCCGAACCAAAAGGCCCCTCCTCGTCCCCACTGGCAGTCGGTGTTCTTAAAAGAAGGATCACATTTTGTTTTTATTTTACTGACAGAGATATATTGACGACAATTTTGAACTGTTTTACGAGAATATAGGCTTTTTCCGCTTCTATAGAGACTACATTGCCCCTGAAAATTAGGGACGGCACTGTCTCTGAAAATTAGGGAAAGTATTAGGGGGTTGTCGTGGACCGTTTCCTCCCCTCTGCTACCTTTTCCGCAATAAAGACGCGATTACCGCGCATGCGCGCTTCTAGCTTGCCTGCGGAGTCTCGGGTCACTTAGCGGGCTCCGGTGAGCGTTGCTTGACGGCAAAAACAATGTAAGTAAACTCCCTATTGTCCCTAATTTTCAGACCATCGTTTCTGCACAGATTACAACGGTTAAAAACAAAATTGCCTCAGCTGAAATGTAGACCTTTGGTAAGAAAGGGAGAGAGAAAGAAAAACCGAACGAAATAGAAAGATAGAAAGAGAGTGAAAAGATCACAAAGAAAAAAAAAAGGTGACGTAGTTATCGTCTTCGGTGCAGACGATACTGGTGACACAAGCATATCACGCGCGTAGTTTCAATATTTACCGCTCTCTTGCGCGTGGCGTCGTCGGTACGATCGTTTCGTTAATTAACTGACTATCCGATTTACTCGTCGGATTGTAAGGTAATGCGCAATAAAAATAAACAAGTAATAATCTGACTTACAACCTTGTTTCTATTATCTGAGAAATTTTCGCGTTGGTTGTCAACCATAAAATTAAACTTCAGAATTCCTTATATACTACTTTTATAGTCAAAGGCACCGGTGTGTGCAATACAATCTCCACATGCAATTGTTCTACGTTCATAAGGAATACAAAATGTTTTCGTGTTTTATCGTCTCAGTCTAGTCACGAGGTGTCCATCTCGAACAATGTAATCCTTAAAACGAACATAATTACAGTCTGGATTTTTGATAAATCTAACATTATACTTTTTTGTGCCGCATTTTATCAAGAATAAAAAAAATCACAACATTTGTTTCTCATATTTCTTTAAGTAGATTTCATACTGTGTTTGCAACATTTCGTTTTTAATTTTGACGAATAAGCTGGGTATAATATGAAGCTTTTGATGACGCTCTATTTAGGCAAGGTGCTTCGCGCACACTGGATTCGGATTGCAATAAACACAAATCAGCCCGTTGTCAACTGGGCAGGTTCAAATAAATTACAACAAAACGTGCGATGCCGAGTTTTCTGGAACGTATACCTTTACACGTCAAAGCACCATTTTCGAACAAGTCCACGTTTCCGACACCAGGAGGCGTTTGCCCCTGTGCCGTGCTTTCTTTGCAGTGCGGAGTGAATGTAGAATTCACATTTAAATATTCTAAGTTTAAATGGTAAAACAAAATGGCTAGGTGGCGTAAGCTACCGCCCGATCCAAAGGGCTCAGCCAGATTCATCCATCCATCCATGCTGACAGCAGCGCCACCACCGCAGCGTGACGTCAGAGTCACGTGTTAATTTATGCAAGCGCGGTAGTCGGCGGGAACCAAAGTTCCCACCCTCATTTCGAGACTTGAGCATTTCTGGCAACATGGTGACATTGTCAAGAGTTACAGTATCCCGGAGGGGGCCGTGGTGGACAGCCACGTGGATTAGGGGCACCCTCCTCTAATCCGAGGTAGAATGGTTCTGCGGAATGGCATTAACCTCGGCTGATTTACTCTGGGGATAAGCTATAGACAGCGTTTGACGGTTCGCCTCCTGTCCAGTGAGGGGATCTTGTGTAGCGCGTATCAAGTCTTGTGTCATTTCATATAGCTATTCCGCCGAAAGCTGTACTGCACACACGTCAACTTGGATTTTGTTGAGACACAGACAGTCCTTTATAGGTTGCCGAGATGATGTTGGGTATAAGCTTATTACGCGGGTATTCAGGGGGATTACTTAACTAACAACTGCCCATGTGTGGAAGTGCGTCATGGAGCGACCTTTAACGAAGAGTCCATCGTTACAATTGAAACACGCTGATATTGTGTTCGTACCGGTTACGGTTTGTACGCCTGTGAAGTGCACCATTATTGAGTTTGTTGCAACTCCGCGAATACAGGCAACTTCGCGAATACAGTTTTTTTTAATGAATACGAGTATCAAACTCTATTTTGTCTCAGAGCTACAATGATTACGCCTTCATTTTGGAGCGAAGAGATCGCCTATGCTTTCCCGTGCGGACGATAGATGTCGCCACCTTGGTTCGTTGGGGAGAAAGGGCGTTGTAGGGAGCAGAATGGGGAATCGACCGTGCGGCCAATGAAGGGCGGCGCCGCCTGGAAGCTCACGCCCCTTTCTCGCGAGGTCCCCATTCTCTTGCCAGCCCGTTCTCCGCAACGCAGGTCGTCTGCTCCCGAATAATACATTTAATGGCGGAATTCAATTAAGGCTCCGCCGCGCTGCTGCCTCTCGCGAGCGCCGACAGGGGTCGCCACCGGCTATCCCTTATATTTTTTTTACGACCGCATTTGCATAACTCCGCGCAACGCTCTTTCGGGCTCGTGATGTCTATTCATTACCAAATTGGGATTTAACGGGATCGCCGTTACGCGTGTAATAAAGGGGGGCGTGAAGGGAGGGCGTGGACAGAGCAATTTCCCATGCAGGGTTCGTTTATCGCCTTCTGAGCGCGGGCAAACTAAAAAGGCTTAGTATCGGGCTCGCTGTAGCGCGTAGCCCCCCCCCCCCCCCCCCCCCCCTTTCCCCTTTATCACGGCTTACTGCACGTGCCAACGCGCTTCTATGACTGACTGCGGATTACTCCATATACAAGAATATATGGACAGTTTGAAATTAACAGTTTCAGACAGATGCAACATTCACTAGTAATACACTGTTTCCAGTTACTTACTATGACAGTAGAAATATGTACATCTCATGACCGAGTCTCACAGTGATCGCATTAATTATACCTAATACTTAAATGTCAGTAACTTGTTATACCGAGTTACTGATTACGGTAAATATGACCGTCAATAATAGCCCTCCTCAAAACCTCAAAGTAGGTCGTCACGTTCGTGTCACGATATCTAATAGGCTAATAAAGCAGCGGCACAAAGGCCCTCGAAATGCAAACTGAAATATTTTTATCATCGCATGTTTAGTGTTAATGTTTTTAGTAACAATAACCCCAATAGTCTTAATCTAAAGTTACCTGGGAAGGTAGATGTATTTTTGTTTACCGGTCTCGTGACAGACATAACTGTGTTGCCCCACGCAGTAACAAATATTGAGCGGGACAATACTAGCCTGATTGGCTAGTTTAATCCGCCTGTGCTATATCTTGTTCTATAAATCAAAATAAAGAAATTCGATAGCACCCACCACATTCTCAAGTCCTCCTGGCCAACTTCTGAGGATAGACATACGTATATATAAGGTCCCGAAAACGCTGGTTAATTATCTTCGTAATACACGTATATCCAAGATATTCTTAACTTCAATGTAAATATTGCCTATGCGTCTTTTCTATATTGTTTCTTCTCTCTTAGCTTTACTTTACTCTATCCTCTTTTGTCTTTTTTTTTCTTTTTGTTGAGAGGAACATTATCATTTATACAGGTTGACATTTTTGTGCATGTAACTGAACAACTCTGTTCTCTCTTTAAAGTATTCTCCTCTTTCTTTTCACGTATGAACGTCGAGTTGTGCATGAGCACATGTAAGGTTGGTCGTGGGTTCTCGACCGGCAAAGTGACACTTTAGCGCGGATTTTTCTGTTTCAGGTCTGGTTCCAGAATCGGAGGGCGAAATGCAGAAAACACGAGAGCCAGATGCAGAAGAGTAAGTTCATTTCACGCCTTCATAACCGGGGCAGTTTAAACATTCTTTCGAGGTAGTGGTCCTTCATGGAGATTCATATGGGAATAGTGACGTATGCAAAATACGTCGAGCTCATAGATTTCATATATGCCATATATCGTTGTAGTTTATTTCGTAACAAAAAATCAAAGGAAACAAATACCAATTTGGAGTGTGTTACCATTTCACCTCCCGTGCGAAATTATAGCTTGTAGGTGACTTGCATATTCTGGTTCAAGTGATTTTGTCATTTTATTTAGACCTTTCATGATAAGCATTGCTTACGGATTACCATAGACCCCAAACAAGCTATATACAAGAAGAAATTAGGCGGCATCAGTAAAGCCTGCATTACAATATAGGCTTCACGCTTCCAGTGATACTTGCCCCATGACGTCTTGTGATCTCAAACCCGGTGGTGGAAGATTCATTTGACCAGGGAGGGCCAAGCGTTCGCAAGAAAGCGTCCAGTAACGTCTGGCTGACACGCTTGACTGAGACTGCAGCAGCAGTGTTTTGGCCGCGCTAAAGTTGTTTGATAGTTCTTTTTACAACTAACGACAACCCCCGCGCATGGCCAAAGGCATTTCCCGAGATTAAGATGGCGTCGTTCAGTTCATCCCGCTGCTGAACTGAAAGACGCCTAAAACATACACTGTGACGTAGTCGGCGCTTCAAAGAATATCCTTGCAAGGAGCACGACGTCTATCTAAGAACTTTAGTCCGCCTTCTCTTGAAGGACCCCATGGATGTTCTCCGAAAACAACTCAGCACTAAGACGCTTGTAACAGGATATGCCAATAAGACGCATCTTGAACGTGGAAGACTGCCTCATGCGCTCGTCGTCAGAACCTTGGCAGACGTGTCCATACAAGTCTCCACTTGGATAAACTTTACAGCCCCAAAAGGCTTGGAGATTTCGCTCACGAAGTCACGCTTTCAGGCACCAACGTCTTATAAGTAACCAGAGGCACGGCGACATTGGCGGTTGTCGTTCTCGCTACACCGGCCACAACGAACATGCTCTGTGGAAAAATCTATCTTTGCTCAAACCAAAATCAGGGATTCTGCTAATTTGCAATGTGTGCCACTGAGGGGCGGGCTTCAGGTTCATGCAAGGATTTTAATTGAACAGTGGAGAGCACTCTGCACAGAATAGCATAGTGTATAAAGTGTAATAAGCGTGATGAGATGTGGCCGGGTAACCGATGAGCGATGAGGGTGCTTGCCTTCCTCGTACGTGAGGTGCCGAGCAACGCAGACGTATGTGTAGAGGCCGTCTGAGACAGGCCGCCGGGACCTTTCCCATGATTACCTTCGTGCTGAGATGTGTCCAGGGGTGCTATGTTGCGCTTTTTGGACTCCCAGGAGACTAGGGAGAGGGAATTGACGTCAACGACACAGCAAACGCAGATTGGGTGTTGATTTCGTTTTCTTCTGTCAACGTCCAATCTGCATTTGCTCTAGTCGTTGACGTCACTTCCCTCTTCCAAGTCTCCTGGGAGTCCAAAAAGCGCAACATAGCCCCCCTGGTACCCGATGAGTGGCGAGGTTGCGTCATTCCTCGTGCTTGAAGTACCGACTGATGCAGATGTATTCGTAGAAGTCGTCGCATGGGTGATCTATGTGCACCCGCAGTGGTCGTTCTCGAGGGACGTGCCCGTCAGTCACTGGATGGGCGTCTGACGGAGCGAGCACATGCTGTGCGAGATGGACTAGGCGGTGTAGCTGTTTTCGGACCGATAATGGCCGTCAGGCTTCACTTTGACTTCGTGACCCTGGCCGAGATGAATGCTGCCGACCAAACCAACAACGGTGATGAAGCGGCTGGGTTTCTTGGGGGGGTTGTTCCTGCCGTTGGTAGTCGAGCTTCGATCTAGCTGGCTCGCGCTGCCTGTGGTTCAAAACTCTGACTTCATTTTCTTCGACATCTTGGATCTCCTTCCGTGGTCTGAAGAACAAAAACATTAAATCCGTTGAGCCAAATTTGAGCTTTCTAGTTTTCATGTCTACTTATATTATTAATAAAAGTTTATACGCTTAGTTTATACTTTGTTCTTATCAAACAAATACTAAAAATTTCACGATAAACCAAACTTATTTGTATTACTTAAAAATAAGGAAACACGGGCATCTGCGGGCTCGCGCAGTCTGACTGCCGCCATACTGTCACTCAAAACAAAATATGGCTTGCACATGACGTCACTGTCCCGTGCTGGTGATCATTCTGGGTCATTCCTACTTGTTCTTGCCAAGAAATACAAATTCTCAGCTAAAAAGTGCATGCTGCAGGTGCACGCTCAGCAGCAAGGTCACCACTAGAGCCACTAAAATGAGCTGCGCTTAGAGTATCGGCGGCACTGTGTTCCCCGACGTTGCTGTGGACGCCGCCATTTTGGTGTTTTTGCAGAGCAGATGCAACTACCGATCGTCAAGATTCCAAAGTGCGACTTCCTCAGCATTAGATTCGGCGTTAGGAAGCTGATGTAATATTTCTTTGCTCTGTCGCGAACTCTCCGCTATCGGCGGACCCCTGCGCGCTTCCAGATTTCTTCTTTTGATCACATACTTTCGTTATTTGTGCTACGTCCTACAAAGCGCGCAGGTTCTTACAAACGTTTTATAGGTACGTCTCTGAAAGAAAATCGTCTCACCTGATCGCCGTGTTACTAAAGAAGAAATAAGTACACTACCGGAAGTCTACTGGGGCACCAAACACTATGGCACCCTCGTGGTACCAACTCCCACCGAATGCGGTGAATACACGTGTTACCTCGGCAGGAAACATATGGCGCTCTCCCTCGACCGTACAACCATTTGGGTCCCGAATTTCAAAGTCCATGTCACCGCGATACGATCAAACAACATGCAATTCTGGCATTCACATATCACGTGGCATACGGTGGTTTTGTTTCCAGTCAGCTGTCCCTGGTATAACTGAATTCTAAATTTCTCGACCTGAGAGCAGCAGTCATTCGCCGTGACTTGTTCAGGCTGTACGATTCATGTTCCGAATAAAAAGGCGATTGCCGCAAAACCTCGTGCAACCGCTGTGCAACCATCTGGAGAAAACTGAAGCTACTCCGATGATCTTCATCAAAGGCAATATCTTTATTTCGCTGTCCCGAATCACACAGTACACTCTGCGAAAGGAATCCTACGAGAAGTTGGCCTTCTCGACCATCATCGTGAGCATAACCAGGTCGTACTGGCAGTTTGGGTAGATGCGGCCGCACAGGGACAGCTGCGTCCTTCTTCCAACGTCGAAGGCGGCCTGGTAGCGCTGGAAAGAGCTGCCGTTACCACCAAGAGAGTCCAGTTCTCTCACGAAGAGTGCGACGCGCTTGCCGTAAGTCCCATAGCGAGCGGGCTCTGCCCCAACCTCGCAGGACAGCTTCAGCATGCAGTCGTCCACGTCCATCTCGTGGATGAGGTCCAGCGCCGGTGCGAACTCCGTCATGTTGGCGGCCCGGCTTCGGAAGGCGTTGCGACGCAACTGAAAAGCAAATTGGATACGAGATGGCAGTGGTAAACGCCCGGAAAGTCCCTCACGTTGCGCTTGACCTAGTTCGGTCACTTCACGACATACGACTCCTATTCTCCGTTTGAAATGAATTCCGATCGAGGAACCACTGGTAAAAGTGCAACTCACTACTTGTTTTCTTTTCTATGCACGTCGCCAAAATGGTAGAAACTATAAATCTTGAAGTATTAACACACTAGCATGTGCCGTGATTGACGTTGAGTTGGGTACGACTTGGGACTCAGGCTGGGAGGCACTTACTTGATCGAACGACGTTTTAGGGAACGAAGCCCTGCCCCTGATGTTTCATCGAACGACACTTTAGCGAATGGCGGTGTTCATTTGAGCGAGCGGTGGATTAGCGATGCCGTTGTAGCGACACCAAATTATCGAATCGCTTCGGAACTCCATTTAAGGAAAATAGCTACCTGCTTCCTTGATCTCAAACCGAAATCGACTTCATTGCGTGTTTGAAGCTCCTGAGACAGCTATACATGCCTTGCACCTACGTCACATGATGACGTCGGACACCGGTATCTACCATGCTGGTGGTTGACTCGACGGCCCTTCGCAGCGAGAGCAATGGTAAACAGCGCCGCGCTAGGCTGTAGCAATTACCCCGTATCCCGACGATCGTCCGATCGTTTTGTCCGCATGCCCCGCGAGACAGAGTAGCCGTCAAGTTAGAGAAAGTACGAGCGGCAGGAAATGAATGCGGCCGCGGATTATCGAGTTTGCGGGACGCATTTCATAGCGGCGAACGACGGCACTTTTCTACCGTTGTTTACGTTCGCGCACGCCTTTGCATCGGCTTTTGCTCGTTCGTGGCGTATATAGCCTTTGACCTTCGTTGCATAACGCCGTTTTCACGCTTCGAGCGCACCTTCGGCGCTCCCGGCCGAATCCGAGCGAGTGTCGCGCCGCGAGCCCGGGCCGACGGCGATCGGCGGCCCCCATGTGCAAGCTCGCCGAGCCGCCGGGTCATCGGTTTCTGCCGTCCGCGATACGATAGCCTTTGAAAGGAACGAAAGTATTCAGGCGAGCCGGTTAGGAAACATAATAACATAAACCCTGAGACAATGAGAGTTTCTGGTCCGTTATTTGATTTATCCCTGTCTCAGGGTTAAGATTATGACGGTAACATTGCGTTGTTTACCAGTATTTCGCAAAATCGTAACAATTTTTCTACAAGCGACTCCTAGAGCCGCTGGTCAAATTATGAAGCGTGCAATTAAGCTTTTTTTTTTTTCTTTTTTTGGCGACACGGCATCCCTTTGCGTCAAAACTTCGTCGGCGGCATTTCGAAACTTCCTGCTCGTAGCGCAATCGCACCAATGCCGAAAAATTCCGCACGTACTGGATAAACGTCATAATCGTAAGCTGAGCACGTTTTTCTAAGTTCACGGTACCTTTGTTGAAAATATGGTGCATGTTAGCGCATGTCCGGGCCGTTAGCAGC